CTGGATGATTAAAGAAGATTTTTGGTCTTATCAGTGACCGAATCATTGTACACTACGCTCTAACTGCCATGAACACATACTTTCGAACCGTAATAATAATTAACAAAACAAAAAAAAAACTCTCTATCAAAACAGGTTGTTAGCAAATCTTGAGTTATCTGGAGCTAGCATGCATGACCAATTCAATTAACATGCAGTAAATGTGTACCTCGCCTTGGCGATCAATTCGCCGATGGCCAATCTTCTGCTTTTCATGCTCCTCCTGCGTACGAGTCTCCTCATCACCTAAACAACAACTATCACAGGGATAATTCATCAAAAAAAGCTTACAACATCCTCCATTCAAAAAGAAAAATTTAGAAACTGCACTTCACGGCTTCACATTAAAACACAGTCACGAAAAGGATGAAATCTGCTTTTCCTAACAAAAAAAGAGCAAATGTTGCAGAGGGTAAAACTGGCCTAGAGTGACGTGAATTTGAAAGTCATAGGATAGTAGTCGATGGGGAAATTAGCTGCATATGATGGATAGCCCAAGTATAACAGGCCTAGTGCGCAGGCATAAGCTTAAGGGTACAGTAATTACCTAATGTTCTTTGTAATTAACAATAAATTCTGTGCTGCGTTCCCGTGTTTCAAACCCTAAAACGTACGGAAGCTCCTCCCTCATAACTCATCTGCTGAATCAACTTTCAATGATTAGTCTTTTTTCGAAGATTCTTTGCAAAGCATGCTGCAAACCAAAGCCCCAAAACATGCATTACCAAAATAAATCCACGTAGTGACCTATCAGACCTGCCGGCGCAATCATGCATTGCTGCACGATTCCATCCTCCATAACCCGATTTTGCAATTTGAAAATTTGATGCGTATGTATGCAAAAGTGCAAGCTTAAGCAGAAGCCGATTTTATGCCTACTGGTAACAGCAAACCTCCAAAAAACAATAATGCTCCTTATTCAGCCCGGTTACCGAATCACCCTGGGCTAAATATTCATTTACGCGCAAATAAAACCAAGGTGTGCTTTTAAGATGAATCAGAAATATTCAAGTCACATATCAGCACGAAATATCCTCTAAAGTCCCAGCTTCAAGCTCGACTATAGGCGAAATCGCTTTTCCTTACACACAGCTTTAACGTGTA